CAATTTTATTTTATAAAGCACTTTTTTTAAACAAATTTTTATAATATATCCAGTTAACTGCCCAATTTTTAATTTCAATTTGTATTCAAAAATCAGCTAATGAAAATAGAAAAAAACTTTTTATAAATATCTGTAAACACATATGTGTGATGTAATTTATAACTATTATTTGGTTTGATAAGATTTGTATAAAAAATACAGACTGAAGAGCCAAATTAAGACCCAAAATGAATATTCACATCCAATAATAAAGTCTGTATCAATAAGAATTCCTTGTGCGATGTAAGTTACTGAAAAAAAAGCCAAAAATTTTAGGCTTAAAAAAATCCACAGAAACTAGCAATGGAAATGATCAATTAAATAATATATGCATATAAATATTTTGAATATTAATTTTATACAATAACATGTTCATTGATTGAAAAACGTACAAAAATATTAATCTTAGCACAGTATAGTCAAGCATTTTATCATCTTCAGACTGATTAAAGAGTGTGCATATACAAATCAGAAGTATACAGCCACATCCACTGATACAAAATGTACAACAATATTTGCAATGTTTAAATTGCATATAATTTATCAAATTTTGCAAAAGTACAAAAATGTCCAGTAATATGGCATTTTTGATAATCTTGCACAGCTCTGGTTCTACATATTAATAAACTTCTACTTATTTAACAAATTTTTCAAAAACAAAACAATAGACATTTTAAATAACATAATGTCAAAATTACTTATTAAACTCAGTAATACTGATTATTATTAGATTTTTGTAGTAACTGGATGCTTCAGATTTTTATAACATCATTTACTAAACTATATTTTAAGACCAAACTAAAAATACTTTAATAGGTTTGTTTGCAAAAAAGCATTTTCACAAGATCTACAAATTTTAAATTTCTTATGAATTAATAAACATTTTATAGAGTTACCCATAATCTTTTTTATAATATTTCATTTTAAAATAATGCTATTATCAAACATATTAAAGCATTTTTTTAGGTTTGTTCATAAAAATGAAATAGTTCTGTAGCATATTTCAGAATGTATAAAATTCAAACTAAAAATGCAAAAGATAATACATAAATAATCTATTTTTTAAAAATATATATGTTAAAACATATACAATTTAAATATTTATATAATTTATAAAAATCAAAATGACTGGTTTTTGTATTAAAAATAATTAAATAGTACTAAGCAAATTTAAACAGATCAAGCCAACTTTAGTTATTTGTAAGCAATTGTTGAAACAAAATTTTTTAATTTACAAACTGTCATTATAACAGTTTAAAAATCAAATAATTTCTAATAAACCACTTTTGAGTTTCTGCTTAGCAGTTTTGATTATCATTAACCTTAGCTATGTTTATTAGTGTTTCTTTCTACATCATTCTTTTAAATAAAAATCTCATTTAAAATATAAAAAAATTAGAAAAAAATTTAAGGAATAGATCCAGAAATAGATTATCTATTTCTTTTATAGCAGTTCATAATTTTGTTATAATTAATAATGAGATTTTTTTCAGTTTGACTTTATATAGCAAAGCCAGAAACATCTCAAAGCAATGAACATATCATATATCTTGGCAGATAAGGTGACCATCAGATAAGACAAGGTATAAATTTTTGTCGAAGTTCTATAGTTTTAGCATATATCTGTCCTATAAGACAACCCTCAAACTATCAACAGCCTATGAATTTAGTTTAGATCAGCGATCATCATTTGAATAATAATACTGTATAGCATATATTGAATTACTGTATGTCCTATTTATAATTTTTTGAATGAACAAATTTTATTTTCTTGCATCTGGCAGCACTGGCTTCAAATTGTTGCAAACATTGGCACTGATTTGGCATTCGGGTAATGACCTTGACTATTCACAAAAACGTCATATGCGCTATTCTATTTTGTGCACATATCTTACTCTCTTCTAGTAAAGAATTACGGTTTGTCTGTCTTTTTATAATAATTTTAATTTATATAAATTTCAATCTAATTTTTTTTGTTTCTGTCCTATAAGATGACCCTGGATTTTGGGGGCCTTTTTTTATGATTCAACTATTGTCTTATCTGCCAAGATATACGGTAAATACAAGTTATGTAATTTGAAGATCATAAAATTTTTAATTTCTATAATTTTTTTTAGATTATCCTAGTATGTGAAACCAAACATCTGATTACCTCTATTTAAAATTTAATATCTTTTATTGTTCTAATCAAATTCTTTATTATTTTCTTGTATTATTGAAAAGTATATTTGTAATATACTGTATATATAACTGCAGCAGTTATACTGTATATATAACTGCAGCAGTTATACAGTATATATAACTGTAATGAATTGTCATAATATGACAATATTATGACAATTCATTACATATATTAATAGTAATAAAATGATATCATTTTATTACTATTAATTAGGTTCATTTGTAAAATAGATGCATTTTGTTTTCTGTATTGAAACATGTAGATTGAACATATAACTTATTAATACAGTAACTTATAGTTAATATATTTGAGTATATAAAATATAATTATATATATAAATATATATTAACTATATATATTTCATTAATAATTTGCAAGTTCTTATTTTATGACAGTTACGGCTTTATATCTATTTCAAATCTTATTATGTGGTTTTTTTATTCAATAATAAAAAGCATCATTTACACTTGTAATTATGATCTATTTTACTATCTGTGAATTGAAACAAAATTAGACTTCAAATTTACATAATAAAACAGTTAATGTAAGATAGGAAAGAAGCAAAATATCTAATGTCTAAATTCTAAAAACTCAAGTTTCATTCCATTTTGATTCTCAGAAATTTTCTTTTATGAATGGTCTGATCTGAATGTATTGGGCATCCTTCTTTACTGCCCATTCATCTTACAGGTCTGGCAAATTCTGCAAAAGGCTCTCTTGGTAACCACATTACAGAAAGACTTTAAAAAAATAATACAATATTATATATAAAAGAAAATTTAATTTACATTATTAATCCTCAAATTTTTGTGATAAAATGAAGTTAACAATCTTCACAGAATATCTGAGGAGAGGTTAGGCTTCAATATTTTAATGATATTCTTTCAATTATTCATTTACCTATCAATTTTTTGAATAATTAATTTTATAAATTTATTAATAGTTTTTTTTTCATTTTATACCAATAAAATTCAAATATAGTCAAATGAATATAAATGCCAAAGTGATGTGAATAAATCACTTCAACAAAATAAAATTTTTAAATCATCAAACATGTGGAATTAAATAAAACTGATTAACTAAAATTTTATTCCTCAAATAAAATGGAAGAAGAAACATTTTTGTTCTGGATTCCTACAATTAGTTTTTTCCTTCATCTTTTGACACTAAGAGAATCTATTTTTTATATAATTGCAAATAGAAACTAGGTTTCAAGTGCTACAGAAATTTTCATTTTTTTTTCCTTATAGAGATTATAGCTTATCTTTTTTCTCCCCTCCAAAAGGAATGTGTAGGAACTGCTTGGGAGTTTAAAAGATCAGATTACATATAAGAAAATTTTTAATGCTAAGATCAAAGTAAATATACATAATTTTTTTGTAGACCTTTTTAACTTCCAATTCCGAATATACTAATCCTGCTAATTCAATCCCATACAATAATTAGTTCAGATTAGTAAAAGTTATTATGCGAGACAGTTCTGATGTTACGAAAAAATATATAAAAAAATTCATAAACACAATTGGAAAAATTTGTGCATAATACCTAAATAGTAATATGATGTTTGGATTTTATTGTTATTTTGTTAGTGAAGAAATCGTTCAGTCAGAATGTATAATTTTTTATGCATTGGTCATTGAATTATTCATTTAGAAATAAAATTGAATAAAATACATATTATGCAAGATGAAATTAAAACTTATTTGTAAATATAATGCTACTGGAGGAAGTAATCAAGGAAAAAAAAAAAAGCAAAAGGTTATAAAATATTACTGAAAAATAATGTTATTAGTAAAAACTGTTACATTACTTACTTTTTTTACATTTTTTGGTAATTTTCCTGGTGTCGTCGCAGGAAGGATCGCTCTTAGGTTTCAGTTTATCGATGCGGACGCGTTCGTTAGTGATGGCATCGCACTCTTTCCATTCTCCCTTTTCATATTTACAAGCTGAAACAAAATTTTCATCACAATTAATATTGATTCGTTCCCCTTTTGTTTCGCCGCAAGCAGTACAATTACTCTTTCCCGTTTGATAATGCGTCAACGTCAATCTTTACAGGCAACCTTATGCTCGTTTGTTTCAGTCAGATTTACTTCCAAAAAAAAAAAAAAATAATAATAATAATAATAAACCTAGCACGATTTAAAAACTGATCCATAGTTAACCTAGGTTTCACAAAAAACACGTTAATAATAGCGATAAATTCACAATTGCATACTGCTAAAATGCAAATTATATCATTGTAAAACAACCTTGTTTTTTTGTAACGAATAGAAAATAAATAATCCTTAATTCTGATCAGCAGTTTAAATATTAAGCGTTTTTATAATTAAAAGAATGAATGTACGAGTTGTTCAAGAATTAAGAATTATCAATAATCAAATGAAAATCCTGGTTGCTGCTCAAATATGCCCGCAATGGACGAAATTGCAGCTTTCCACGCAGCCATACTTTGTCTCACGTTAACAAATTAATCAGCAATAAAAAAAATAAAAAATAACGATTCGATGCATAAAACGGAGAGTCGGATGCGAACTGAAGTGGGATAAAGAGCAGTAAATGAGAATAGAAAAAAGCTTTTACCTTTCTTGCATTTTCTGGTCAAGGTTCTGGAAGGCTCACAGCTGGAATCTCCTCTCTTTATCGTCAGAGTGCGTTGTTCTGTATTGGTGACAGGGTCACACGGTTCCCACGGTCCTTTTTTATAACGGCAGTCGCCACCTGCAACGAGGTTGTGTTAGAGGATCCGGAGAAGAGTGCAGAAAGCGGATAATCTTACCTTTGATCCGCGAGTTTTTGATGCCTCGGACGGTTCGGTAGATGATGTCCCGGTGTTCTTCTTCAGTCTGGCGACAGGCGACCAAGCCAATAAGCAGGAAGACGCAGACCAAAACGCAGCTCTTCATCTCGCTATGAGAGAGAAAAACAGCGATGAGAGGAGGCGGAAGGCCTCTCGTTGACCTTGGACCTCTCTTCCTCGTTAACGGCACATTACTGCCAATTGAACGACCTTAGCGACGCCAATTCCCGGCTAATAACCCCCAAAAGAGGATTGTCGGCCAGGGCTCTCTCCCGTCCCACTTCCATCGCCTCCTCACCTAAGAGGTATTGGAGTTGTCCCGACCTTGTAGACTCGCCGTTTCCGGACAGTTCCGCAACTAGTACCGGATAGATGAGTATGATTCCGTTAGTTCTACCATGTACCCTTCTGGCAGTTTTCCAAATTCCCTTCCTTTTAATCCGACGTTTCCCAATATTTTATTTTATTTCCCTTTTTTGTGTACTATTAAGCCACGACACTACTCAAGGGTAAAGTTTGCCATATATTACATGGAAAACATTTATCTCTCTCAGCGTAATTCATTTTTCCAGTAAAGTTTGTTTGTCTAGTTATGGCAACGCAACGCCTTCCGGGAGGTCTTTTTAAGGGAAACTGGCCCCTATTTAAGCGTTACAGACATGGAAAAAACCCGGAAAACTCCACGTGGTCAGCCCGTCCGAACGATGATGGCAACTAAATCAGAGCTGTAATATTCGTGTAAAATCGTGCAAAATTATGCATTAAATTCGCCTGTCTGTATATTCCTAATCAATTAACTAATGCCATTTCTGCCGATTAAATATTATCCACATTTCAAATACAGAAATAAGCAATAACGTCGTTTTCTTAATTTGCTACAAAAATCTTCACTAATGAAACTTGATAAGGTATCCATAGCGATAAGCGACACAATTTATTAAATATCTTGATATGATCGCGAGCAAAAGTGAAAGGAAAATGAATTAATAGAATTTTTTAAATGAATTTAAAGGGTTTTTTTCCTATATGCACTACAGTTCTCTTCATATACTTCATATACTTCATATAAAATTAGCAAATCGTTCAATTTAGCCAAATAATTGAAATATAGTGAAATGTTCTCGAAAATAATATTATTTTTAGAATTTCAGAGTCAATATAAATTCCTTTGTTTAATGTATTTTTGCCGAGACCAATATTTACATGAAAACGTATCTGTATTTTTAATGAAAATAAATTCTCCTGTCATATTACATTTGATTTATTTTCGTCTCTTAATAGTTACAGAGTGAGAATAATACGAAAATAAATAAATAAAAATGTAAAAATTCCAATAATGATTACTTTTGTCGATTTATAGGCCTAATTATAGTAATATTGATTTTTAGACTGCATGCACTTCATGATAATTTATTCTGACTTTCAAAGAGCAATAAAGAATAGTACATAATACATTTTTAAAGTATTTCACACAGAAATATACTGTCTATATAAGAATTTTAATTGCTTACTTAATCTAATCTTTAAAATTTATTACAGTATATACTTATAAATTAACTGTGTATTGATAACAAAACAAAAACGTTCTAACGAGGCAATCCCAAAGCTTCATGTGTCTTTAGATTATACGAAGGCATTCGAAAAATCCTTTCACAACGATTTCTGAATTCCACAATTCGAAAAACAGATCAATAAAATTCTCAGAGAAACTATAGGCCCAAATATATATATATATATTGTATTAATATCTTTTGTTTTTTTGCAATTTCACTTGCATACAAAATTCTCTATTTTTGATTCAATTTATTTAAAATTATTGAAATATCAAACTAAAAGAATAATTTAATCGTATTATAATAATAAATAATGTTCGGATCCGATCGATCAATAAAAAAATAAATTTCGAAATTTAGGATAGAATAAAAGTATCGATTATCATTTTTGTCATTGGTTAAATCAATCGGAATATTTTATCGTTGACACCGGCAATGCATTTATGCATTGCCAATTTATGCCAATATAAAAACGGAACGAATGCAAAACTCGATCTGTATGCATTTATATATTAAAATATCGATAGCATCTTTCTGGTAGTCGCAATAGTGAAAATGCAGCTTTACACTTTCGGTCGTGGTAGTGTTGCAGTAAACAGTAGTCATGGCAACGTCAGGACAAAGTTCGCCTTTATTTCCCTGTATGAAACGGATAAAACGATAATGGAAAATAGAAAACGTAGAAACTCGCAACGATAGAAACCCATTCGTATTGAAGTAAATGGAAAAAAATTTTAAGGAATTTCCATTGGTCAACTAAATTTCTTAAAAGAGCTTTCGTACACTGTTCTATTTTTATACGCTAAATAAATTTGTTGTGTCACGGAATACGCGTGCCATTCGGTTTCGATACAATTATCCTTCTTCCCATCGCAAAATAATGTATATTTAATATCTTTATTTATCTGTTTTTACGTTATATATTCGAGTGTATTATTATTTTTTTTACTTTGTAATCGAAATGTAATTAAATTCCGTTATTTTGCATGTACAAAAATTTCTAAAGTTAATTATACGGTTCGTTATCATTCGACGCGATCATCCATCGGTTTAAACGAGACGATGAAGAGTAGAACGAACTTTTCACGGACGAAATCGCGACAAACAACAGAAATTCTTCCGGCTATGTTACTATAGCAACAGAACTTGTTTTCCTCGACGTTTAGAACAGACAAATCGGGTCTTATCTAACCAACGTAAACATTCTAAGCGACGTTCTTCGTAGCTCTTCTTTGTTCTCAGTTTTGAAATATTTCTTCGACAGTAACGAATAACTCAATGCCCGTTAAGCTAAAATAGGGAAAACAAAATTTTCAGAATAGAGAATGATTGTCGATAGAAATCAAAATAATTTCTAACTCCGCAGGCAGACACGACTCTAATTAACGAGGTCGACATTATTATTCCCGCTTTTCATCGCTAATTATAGAACGGAGAAATCTTCAAATTATAACAACGTTTAGCCTACTAATTGCAGACAGATGCCATTTCTTCTAATTACCTAATTACTACGGTTTCTCTCGTTCCGTAACGTTGCTAAAGTACGAATCGGGCGATTTGCGAGACCTTTAATGTATGTCGAAATAGATTAAAATGTCACACGCTCCGTATCTCAGACGTATTTGAAGCTTACGAGGCAAAATTCCTTACCTTAGCATTTCTTCTCCAACTTTTTTCTCTTCAATGGGTGAATCTATATATATATGAACTATCTATGCGGAAAGAATTTTTTCCCGGAGATTTAATTATTACCATTAATTAAGGAAAATTGATCATTTCTATGCTGCAACACACGACTGGATACGTGACGGAGCGCTTCAAATAACCAATCGATCGATGGAAATTCGTTCTTTCGTAACTTCTTAGGATGAGATTTAGGCGTCGTTCCGCTGTGTATACACCGGAAACACAAGCATAAAGATTTCTACAAATCTGTGAGATGAATCGAACAGTTCTCGTCTTCTTATTCCTTCAGACTGCTTCTCTATTATCGTTCTGTATGTAGCTCCTTCCGGAGTCATTGGATTCAATTCTCGCGTTAAAGCAAATAGGAAAGATGGATGAGTCTGAGTTAAGGATTAAAAATATCCACTTTTACCACGAAAAACAGAGCGATGATGGAAATTGATGGTTTTTTTTTTTTTTTTCTTAAACAGCGATAAGCGGCAACTGCGCGTGAGTACGCGAGTACACGCGACGGTTGCCGCGCCGATGACGATGACGTGTTTCCTGTATATATAGAGGCGATTCTCTAGATAACAAAGGATTTTTCGATCTCGCACCGGAAAAGGATAATTTTTGTGCGAACGGAAGGTCTCCCTGGCCGAATTTCTTGATGCATAAATCGCGTTTTCTGACAACAGTTAGTTTCTTTCTCGGAATTGTCAAATGGAAAAGAACCGTTACTTCTAGCAACGCGACTCTTCGATTCGACTGGAAGAAGAAAAATCATCAGGCGCGTCTTTCTTTGTCATAGAATAGCCCGGTTAATCGAATTCTCGAAGGGGACGGACGAAGAAATTGGGTCTGGCGCATTCGAGCGATCGATCGATGCCGTCCCCTCTCTCCGACGACATTTTTACGACTCGGACAAGAATTTTACGAGCGCGGGGCGACTCGCGCCCTTTTTCGGCCCCGGTGGATCGATACCCGCACCCGCGGACCGAGAGCGACGGCCACTTACCTCCCGCGCTAGACAAAGGGACTGCTACAAACCGGCCCGATCTGGATCTGCCTCGGTCTGGCATTCGCCCTACTCTCGACCCCGGCCCGGGAAATTCCCCTCTCGGATTCGATTTTCTCGCTTCTCACAGAAGATCCATTATCCCTGGGCCTGGGACTAAACACCTCCCCCTTTCTCCCGCCGCAGCCTCTACGGCGCTCCGTCTTCGGTCCTCCAAGGAAATTTCCCCTCCGGTAGGGAAAATCCCTCCCTTGGCCGGATGGCCGTTTCCAAATCCCGACGGAAGAAAAACGAAATACGAAGATTATAATCGTAATTTCGAATTTTTGAAATAAGATTTATGTCGGAACATTTTTGGTTAATTTCTTGTAATGTGTTTGGTTAATGTGTCTGCCATTAAATCGGGCGACGATGCGTTAATGTTTGTGCGATTCACGCATTCGGACGAGAACGAAGTGATTTCGATCCGACAGATGTCAACGAACGATCGTCTTCCAAAATGACGTCGACTTTCCGGGAAGGGAAATTTTCGTGCGAGAGAAAGTGGCATCGATCATTCTTTATTCGGAAAAAGACGAACAATTTTCGCTTTATCCGAATTACGCTTTTTAGTAAGAAAACAAATACTGTATATAAAATTGGGAAAATTTTATTTCTTAATCATCTGCTTGTGCCTCATCGGAACTCAATTCGGAAAGTGAATCGTCAGTCGGATTACAACTGTAGCAACGCTCCTGTTAAAGAAAAGAAAAAAACTTGTTGAAACGCGTCACTTGTAATCCGCATCCTCTTCGTAATCACTAGATTTAGTCTAATGGTTAAGCTACATTAAAGAACAAAGATTTTTAAAATGCACGTAATTAAATTTGCTTAGTCGATCGAAGTTTCTCTAACAAGACAGTAGAAAAATACAATGTTTACTCCAAAGTCTTTCCAGCAATTGTTGCAGTAGCACAATCCACACGGGTCGGGACAGATGTAATGTTGGGGAGTCTCCCGTTCCTGGCAGATAATACAGCTCATCAATCCAATTTTCAGATATTTCAGCCAACCGAACGTTTTTGGATAGTCTTGAACTAAGATCTGTGTAACGCTTCTGTCCAACTGCCAGAAAAAAAAAATTAAATTAACCATTTGTGTTATTCGAAATATTATTTCATTTTCAATTAAATTTACCATAAATCCTTCGTCTCTGATCATCTTTCTTAGTCTATGTCGCATCCAACGAAGATAGTTTTTCCTTTTTTTCAACTGTTCATTATACACATAGATGATCCTTTTTTTCTGTCGCTACAGAATAGAAAATTTTAAACAAGGAGGGAAAAAATAATAATCAAAATTGGATCCGTATCTCACCTTTGGATAAAAAATGCTGCAGACGTAACTTCTAAGTCTCAATCCGTAAGCTTGAGTGCAGATCAGGATCCAAACAATGCCGTAAATAATCCATATTGTGGTGATACGTTGGGAATTTACAGCCCGAGGATAGGGGAGGCAATCTGTCGAAGTGAATGATAAATATTTCGAAAAAATACTTTTAAAAATGTTCACTTACCCATAGTTGTGGTAATCTTATCTAGACTATGTTTCACTTTAAAGCTATTCACTATGGAACGAACAATTTTGGCCACAAATCCTTCTCCCTCAATGTCCAACTGAATATGATGAATACCTAGGAAAAAAAATCAAAGAATTTGAGAAATGATTCTCATTATTCCCATTCTTCAAAAAACAAAGTTTTTTTTTACCTTTTTGTCTATATTGGACCTGGGAAGAACGTCTCAGAACCATCAGTAATTCGTAAAAAACGCGATCGAAACCGACGAGAACTGCAACAAATATCATCTGAAAGAACAGGAGCACCGTCCCAGTCATCTATCAAACAAAAATTTTAATCATTTTACTGGAATTGAAATGTATTTCCCTGCCAACGGGTTATTTATTTTGCGTTTTTACTATGAGAGAAATATATCTCAACTTTTATTAAATAATGAACTTAGAAAAAGTGTTAAATAAACCAACTGCATATCTGGATTCTTGAAAATGGTGGCAAATTAATACAAAATATGGACCAAATTGGGTCATCGAACCCTATTTCGAGTTACTTGATATCGATAATTCGAGTTGTGACAATGTATAAAATCTCATATTTCCTAATTTATTTCAAGAAAATAATTACTTACAATGCGAAGGGTATTAATTTCTGTAGGTTATTGATTGTTATAATTTTATATTGTATTCTGTATTCAAAATATATTTTCTTTTCTTAAAAATAATTATTATCATCTTGATAGAAACGTTCTTTGTTTTAAAATTATATCCTTCCTAATTTTCTTCTGTATGAAATTACCCTTATTTATGAAATAATGACAGATAATNTTTCAGCAGTAATACAATCTTAAACAAAAAAAAAAAATTGCCTACAACATTGATTTATATGTTTTCACCAATTCTTTTATGTGTTATTTCAATTTCTTAAATATTCTTAACTACAGTAGAAATTTGTTAATTTAGCACACAATAATCTGGAATATCTAATAATTTGACATTCTCTGAAAAATTATTGAAAACTTACAAATACATTTCTCATATTTAGAGCATGCATAGTTTTTGTGAATCATATGTATTCAATACATGCCTGGAAAATAAATATAATATATGCAATTTTAATTTCAACTTTTTTGAAGAAAAGCTTTTTAAACTCAATTGTTTACTTCTATTTATTAGTTTTTATTCAAAATTTGTCTAAGTTTTTTAATTTGTTTTAAATCTTACCAACTCATAATTTTACCCACCTATAGATAGTAGAAGTTTAAATTATTTTTTTAGAAAATTATAATTAAAAAAAATTTATTTTATTTTGTTACTTATCTACAATTTTATTTTATAAAGCACTTTTTTTAAACAAATTTTTATAATATATCCAGTTAACTGCCCAATTTTTAATTTCAATTTGTATTCAAAAATCAGCTAATGAAAATAGAAAAAAACTTTTTATAAATATCTGTAAACACATATGTGTGATGTAATTTATAACTATTATTTGGTTTGATAAGATTTGTATAAAAAATACAGACTGAAGAGCCAAATTAAGACCCAAAATGAATATTCACATCCAATAATAAAGTCTGTATCAATAAGAATTCCTTGTGCGATGTAAGTTACTGAAAAAAAAGCCAAAAATTTTAGGCTTAAAAAAATCCACAGAAACTAGCAATGGAAATGATCAATTAAATAATATATGCATATAAATATTTTGAATATTAATTTTATACAATAACATGTTCATTGATTGAAAAACGTACAAAAATATTAATCTTAGCACAGTATAGTCAAGCATTTTATCATCTTCAGACTGATTAAAGAGTGTGCATATACAAATCAGAAGTATACAGCCGCATCCACTGATACAAAATGTACAACAATATTTGCAATGTTTAAATTGCATATAATTTATCAAATTTTGCAAAAGTACAAAAATGTCCAGTAATATGGCATTTTTGATAATCTTGCACAGCTCTGGTTCTACCAATTAATAAACTTCTACTTATTTAACAAATTTTTCAAAAACAAAACAATAGACATTTTAAATAACATAATGTCAAAATTACTTATTAAACTCAGTAATACTGATTATTATTAGATTTTTGTAGTAACTGGATGCTTCAGATTTTTATAACATCATTTACTAAACTATATTTTAAGACCAAACTAAAAATACTTTAATAGGTTTGTTTGCAAAAAAGCATTTTCACAAGATCTACAAATTTTAAATTTCTTATGAATTAATAAACATTTTATAGAGTTACCCATAATCTTTTTTATAATATTTCATTTTAAAATAATGCTATTATCAAACATATTAAAGCATTTTTTTAGGTTTGTTCATAAAAATGAAATAGTTCTGTAGCATATTTCAGAATGTATAAAATTCAAACTAAAAATGCAAAAGATAATACATAAATAATCTATTTTTTAAAAATATATATGTTAAAACATATACAATTTAAATATTTATATAATTTATAAAAATCAAAATGACTGGTTTTTGTATTAAAAATAATTAAATAGTACTAAGCAAATTTAAACAGATCAAGCCAACTTTAGTTATTTGTAAGCAATTGTTGAAACAAAATTTTTTAATTTACAAACTGTCATTATAACAGTTTAAAAATCAAATAATTTCTAATAAACCACTTTTGAGTTTCTGCTTAGCAGTTTTGATTATCATTAACCTTAGCTATGTTTATTAGTGTTTCTTTCTACATCATTCTTTTAAATAAAAATCTCATTTAAAATATAAAAAAATTAGAAAAAAATTTAAGGAATAGATCCAGAAATAGATTATCTATTTCTTTTATAGCAGTTCATAATTTTGTTATAATTAATAATGAGATTTTTTTCAGTTTGACTTTATATAGCAAAGCCAGAAACATCTCAAAGCAATGAACATATCATATATCTTGGCAGATAAGGTGACCATCAGATAAGACAAGGTATAAATTTTTGTCGAAGTTCTATAGTTTTAGCATATATCTGTCCTATAAGACAACCCTCAAACTATCAACAGCCTATGAATTTAGTTTAGATCAGCGATCATCATTTGAATAATAATACTGTATAGCATATATTGAATTACTGTATGTCCTATTTATAATTTTTTGAATGAACAAATTTTATTTTCTTGCATCTGGCAGCACTGGCTTCAAATTGTTGCAAACATTGGCACTGATTTGGCATTCGGGTAATGACCTTGACTATTCACAAAAACGTCATATGCGCTATTCTATTTTGTGCACATATCTTACTCTCTTCTAGTAAAGAATTACGGTTTGTCTGTCTTTTTATAATAATTTTAATTTATATAAATTTCAATCTAATTTTTTTTGTTTCTGTCCTATAAGATGACCCTGGATTTTGGGGGCCTTTTTTTATGATTCAACTATTGTCTTATCTGCCAAGATATACGGTAAATACAAGTTATGTAATTTGAAGATCATAAAATTTTTAATTTCTATAATTTTTTTTAGATTATCCTAGTATGTGAAACCAAACATCTGATTACCTCTATTTAAAATTTAATATCTTTTATTGTTCTAATCAAATTCTTTATTATTTTCTTGTATTATTGAAAAGTATATTTGTAATATACTGTATATATAACTGCAGCAGTTATACTGTATATATAACTGCAGCAGTTATACAGTATATATAACTGTAATGAATTGTCATAATATGACAATATTATGACAATTCATTACATATATTAATAGTAATAAAATGATATCATTTTATTACTATTAATTAGGTTCATTTGTAAAATAGATGCATTTTGTTTTCTGTATTGAAACATGTAGATTGAACATATAACTTATTAATACAGTAACTTATAGTTAATATATTTGAGTATATAAAATATAATTATATATATAAATATATATTAACTATATATATTTCATTAATAATTTGCAAGTTCTTATTTTATGACAGTTACGGCTTTATATCTATTTCAAATCTTATTATGTGGTTTTTTTATTCAATAATAAAAAGCATCATTTACACTTGTAATTATGATCTATTTTACTATCTGTGAATTGAAACAAAATTAGACTTCAAATTTACATAATAAAACAGTTAATGTAAGATAGGAAAGAAGCAAAATATCTAATGTCTAAATTCTAAAAACTCAAGTTTCATTCCATTTTGATTCTCAGAAATTTTCTTTTATGAATGGTCTGATCTGAATGTATTGGGCATCCTTCTTTACTGCCCATTCATCTTACAGGTCTGGCAAATTCTGCAAAAGGCTCTCTTGGTAACCACATTACAGAAAGACTTTAAAAAAATAATACAATATTATATATAAAAGAAAATTTAATTTACATTATTAATCCTCAAATTTTTGTGATAAAATGAAGTTAACAATCTTCACAGAATATCTGAGGAGAGGTTAGGCTTCAATATTTTAATGATATTCTTTCAATTATTCATTTACCTATCAATTTTTTGAATAATTAATTTTATAAATTTATTAATAGTTTTTTTTTCATTTTATACCAATAAAATTCAAATATAGTCAAATGAATATAAATGCCAAAGTGATGTGAATAAATCACTTCAACAAAATAAAATTTTTAAATCATCAAACATGTGGAATTAAATAAAACTGATTAACTAAAATTTTATTCCTCAAATAAAATGGAAGAAGAAACATTTTTGTTCTGGATTCCTACAATTAGTTTTTTCCTTCATCTTTTGACACTAAGAGAATCTATTTTTTATATAATTGCAAATAGAAACTAGGTTTCAAGTGCTACAGAAATTTTCATTTTTTTTTCCTTATAGAGATTATAGCTTATCTTTTTTCTCCCCTCCAAAAGGAATGTGTAGGAACTGCTTGGGAGTTTAAAAGATCAGATTACATATAAGAAAATTTTTAATGCTAAGATCAAAGTAAATATACATAATTTTTTTGTAGACCTTTTTAACTTCCAATTCCGAATATACTAATCCTGCTAATTCAATCCCATACAATAATTAGTTCAGATTAGTAAAAGTTATTTTGCGAGACAGTTCTGATGTTACGAAAAAATATATAAAAAAATTCATAAACACAATTGGAAAAATTTGTGCATAATACCTAAATAGTAATATGATGTTTGGATTTTATTGTTATTTTGTTAGTGAAGAAATCGTTCAGTCAGAATGTATAATTTTTTATGCATTGGTCATTGAATTATTCATTTAGAAATAAAATTGAATAAAATACATATTATGCAAGATGAAATTAAAACTTATTTGTAAATATAATGCTACTGGAGGAAGTAATCAAGGAAAAAAAAAAGCAAAAGGTTATAAAATATTACTGAAAAATAATGTTATTAGTAAAAACTGTTACATTACTTACTTTTTTTACATTTTTTGGTAATTTTCCTGGTGTCGTCGCAGGAAGGATCGCTCTTAGGTTTCAGTTTATCGATGCGGACGCGTTCGTTAGTGATGGCATCGCACTCTTTCCATTCTCCCTTTTCATATTTACAAGCTGAAACAAAATTTTCATCACAATTAATATTGATTCGTTCCCCTTTTGTTTCGCCGCAAGCAGTACAATTACTCTTTCCCGTTTGATAATGCGTCAACGTCAATCTTTACAGGCAACCTTATGCTCGTTTGTTTCAGTCAGATTTACTTCCAAAAAAAAAAATAATAATAATAATAAACCTAGCACGATTTAAAAACTGATCCATAGTTAACCTAGGTTTCACAAAAACACGTTAATAATAGCGATAAATTCACAATTGCATACTGCTAAAATGCAAATTATATCATTGTAAAACAACCTTGTTTTTTTTGTAACGAATAGAAAATAAATAATCCTTAATTCTGATCAGCAGTTTAAATATTAAGCGTTTTTATAATTAAAAGAATGAATGTACGAGTTGTTCAAGAATTAAGAATTATCAATAATCAAATGAAAATCCTGGTTGCTGCTCAAATATGCCCGCAATGGACGAAATTGCAGCTTTCCACGCAGCCATACTTTGTCTCACGTTAACAAATTAATCAGCAATAAAAAAAATAAAAAATAACGATTCGATGCATAAAACGGAGAGTCGGATGCGAACTGAAGTGGGATAAAGAGCAGTAAATGAGAATAGAAAAAAGCTTTTACCTTTCTTGCATTTTCTGGTCAAGGTTCTGGAAGGCTCACAGCTGGAATCTCCTCTCTTTATCGTCAGAGTGCGTTGTTCTGTATTGGTGACAGGGTCACACGGTTCCCACGGTCCTTTTTTATAACGGCAGTCGCCACCTGCAACGAGGTTGTGTTAGAGGATCCGGAGAAGAGTGCAGAAAGCGGATAATCTTACCTTTGATCCGCGAGTTTTTGATGCCTCGGACGGTTCGGTAGATGATGTCCCGGTGTTCTTCTTCAGTCTGGCGACAGGCGACCAAGCCAATAAGCAGGAAGACGCAGACCAAAACGCAGCTCTTCATCTCGCTATGAGAGAGAAAAACAGCGATGAGAGGAGGCGGAAGGCCTCTCGTTGACCTTGGACCTCTCTTCCTCGTTAACGGCACATTACTGCCAATTGAACGACCTTAGCGACGCCAATTCCCGGCTAATAACCCCCAAAAGAGGATTGTCGGCCAGGGCTCTCTCCCGTCCCACTTCCATCGCCTCCTCACCTAAGAGGTATTGGAGTTGTCCCGACCTTGTAGACTCGCCGTTTCCGGACAGTTCCGCAACTAGTACCGGATAGATGAGTATGATTCCGTTAGTTCTACCATGTACCCTTCTGGCAGTTTTCCAAATTCCCTTCCTTTTAATCCGACGTTTCCCAATATTTTATTTTATTTCCCTTTTTTGTGTACTATTAAGCCACGACACTACTCAAGGGTAAAGTTTGCCATATATTACATGGAAAACATTTATCTCTCTCAGCGTAATTCATTTTTCCAGTAAAGTTTGTTTGTCTAGTTATGGCAACGCAACGCCTTCCGGGAGGTCTTTTTAAGGGAAACTGGCCCCTATTTAAGCGTTACAGACATGGAAAAAACCCGGAAAACTCCACGTGGTCAGCCCGTCCGAACGATGATGGCAACTAAATCAGAGCTGTAATATTCGTGTAAAATCGTGCAAAATTATGCATTAAATTCGCCTGTCTGTATATTCCTAATCAATTAACTAATGCCATTTCTGCCGATTAAATATTATCCACATTTCAAATACAGAAATAAGCAATAACGTCGTTTTCTTAATTTGCTACAAAAATCTTCACTAATGAAACTTGATAAGGTATCCATAGCGATAAGCGACACAATTTATTAAATATCTTGATATGATCGCGAGCAAAAGTGAAAGGAAAATGAATTAATAGAATTTTTTAAATGAATTTAAAGGGTTTTTTTCCTATATGCACTACAGTTCTCTTCATATACTTCATATACTTCATATAAAATTAGCAAATCGTTCAATTTAGCCAAATAATTGAAATATAGTGAAATGTTCTCGAAAATAATATTATTTTTAGAATTTCAGAGTCAATATAAATTCCTTTGTTTAATGTATTTTTGCCGAGACCAATATTTACATGAAAACGTATCTGTATTTTTAATGAAAATAAATTCTCCTGTCATATTACATTTGATTTATTTTCGTCTCTTAATAGTTACAGAGTGAGAATAATACGAAAATAAATAAATAAAAATGTAAAAATTCCAATAATGATTACTTTTGTCGATTTATAGGCCTAATTATAGTAATATTGATTTTTAGACTGCATGCACTTCATGATAATTTATTCTGACTTTCAAAGAGCAATAAAGAATAGTACATAATACATTTTTAAAGTATTTCACACAGAAATATACTGTCTATATAAGAATTTTAATTGTTTACTTAATCTAATCTTTAAAATTTATTACAGTATATACTTATAAATTAACTGTGTATTGATAACAAAACAAAAACGTTCTAACGAGGCAATCCCAAAGCTTCATGTGTCTTTAGATTATACGAAGGCATTCGAAAAATCCTTTCACAACGATTTCTGAATTCCACAATTCGAAAAACAGATCAATAAACTTCTCAGAGAAACTATAGGCCCAAATATATATATATATATTGTATTAATATCTTTTGTTTTTTTGCAATTTCACTTGCATACAAAATTCTCTATTTTTGATTCAATTTATTTAAAATTATTGAAATATCAAACTAAAAGAATAATTTAATCGTATTATAATAATAAATAATGTTCGGATCCGATCGATCAATAAAAAAATAAATTTCGAAATTTAGGATAGAATAAAAGTATCGATTATCATTTTTGTCATTGGTTAAATCAATCGGAATATTTTATCGTTGACACCGGCAATGCATTTATGCATTGCCAATTTATGCCAATATAAAAACGGAACGAATGCAAAACTCGATCTGTATGCATTTATATATTAAAATATCGATAGCATCTTTCTGGTAGTCGCAATAGTGAAAATGCAGCTTTACACTTTCGGTCGTGGTAGTGTTGCAGTAAACAGTAGTCATGGCAACGTCAGGACAAAGTTCGCCTTTATTTTCCTGTATGAAACGGATAAAACGATAATGGAAAATAGAAAACGTAGAAACTCGCAACGATAGAAACCCATTCGTATTGAAGTAAATGGAAAAAATTTTTAAGGAATTTCCATTGGTCAACTAAATTTCTTAAAAGAGCTTTCGTACACTGTTCTATTTTTATACGCTAAATAAATTTGTTGTGTCACGGAATACGCGTGCCATTCGGTTTCGATACAATTATCCTTCTTCCCATCGCAAAATAATGTATATTTAATATCTTTATTTATCTGTTTTTACGTTATATATTCGAGTGTATTATTATTTTTTTTACTTTGTAATCGAAATGTAATTAAATTCCGTTATTTTGCATGTACAAAAATTTCTAAAGTTAATTATACGGTTCGTTATCATTCGACGCGATCATCCATCGGTTTAAACGAGACGATGAAGAGTAGAACGAACTTTTCACGGACGAAATCGCGACAAACAACAGAAATTCTTCCGGCTATGTTACTATAGCAACAGAACTTGTTTTCCTCGACGTTTAGAACAGACAAATCGGGTCTTATCTAACCAACGTAAACATTCTAAGCGACGTTCTTCGTAGCTCTTCTTTGTTCTCAGTTTTGAAATATTTCTTCGACAGTAACGAATAACTCAATGCCCGTTAAGCTAAAATAGGGAAAACAAAATTTTCAGAATAGAGAATGATTGTCGATAGAAATCAAAATAATTTCTAACTCCGCAGGCAGACACGACTCTAATTAACGAGGTCGACATTATTATTCCCGCTTTTCATCGCTAATTATAGAACGGAGAATTATAGAACGTTGTTATAATTTGAAGATTTCTCATCTTCAAATTATAACAACGTTTAGCCTACTAATTGCAGACAGATGCCATTTCTTCTAATTACCTAATTACTACGGTTTCTCTCGTCCCGTAACGTTGCTAAAGTACGAATCGGGCGATTTGCGAGACCTTTAATGTATGTCGAAATAGATTAAAATGTCACACGCTCCGTATCTCAGACGTATTTGAAGCTTACGAGGCAAAATTCCTTACCTTAGCATTTCTTCTCCAACTTTTTTCTCTTCAATGGGTGAATCTATATATATATGAACTATCTATGCGGAAAGAATTTTTTCCCGGAGATTTAATTATTACCATTAATTAAGGAAAATTGATCATTTCTATGCTGCAACACACGACTGGATACGTGACGGAGCGCTTCAAATAACCAATCGATCGATGGAAATTCGTTCTTTCGTAACTTCTTAGGATGAGATTTAGGCGTCGTTCCGCTGTGTATACACCGGAAACACAAGCATAAAGGTTTCTACAAATCTGTGAGATGAATCGAACAGTTCTCGTCTTCTTATTCCTTCAGACTGCTTCTCTATTATCGTTCTGTATGTAGCTCCTTCCGGAGTCATTGGATTCAATTCTCGCGTTAAAGCAAATAGGAAAGATGGATGAGTCTGAGTTAAGGATTAAAAATATCCACTTTTACCACGAAAAACAGAGCGATGATGGAAATTGATGGTTTTTTTTTTTTTTTCTTAAACAGCGATAAGCGGCAACTGCGCGTGAGTACGCGAGTACACGCGACGGTTGCCGCGCCGATGACGATGACGTGTTTCCTGTATATATAGAGGCGATTCTCTAGATAACAAAGGATTTTTCGATCTCGCACCGGAAAAGGATAATTTTTGTGCGAACGGAAGGTCTCCCTGGCCGAATTTCTTGATGCATAAATCGCGTTTTCTGACAACAGTTAGTTTCTTTCTCGGAATTGTCAAATGGAAAAGAACCGTTACTTCTAGCAACGCGACTCTTCGATTCGACTGGAAGAAGAAAAATCATCAGGCGCGTCTTTCTTTGTCATAGAATAGCCCGGTTAATCGAATTCTCGAAGGGGACGGACGAAGAAATTGGGTCTGGCGCATTCGAGCGATCGATCGATGCCGTCCCCTCTCTCCGACGACATTTTTACGACTCGGACAAGAATTTTACGAGCGCGGGGCGACTCGCGCCCTTTTTCGGCCCCGGTGGATCGATACCCGCACCCGCGGACCGAGAGCGACGGCCACTTACCTCCCGCGCTAGACAAAGGGACTGCTACAAACCGGCCCGATCTGGATCTGCCTCGGTCTGGCATTCGCCCTACTCTCGACCCCGGCCCGGGAAATTCCCCTCTCGGATTCGATTTTCTCGCTTCTCACAGAAGATCCATTATCCCTGGGCCTGGGACTAAACACCTCCCCCTTTCTCCCGCCGCAGCCTCTACGGCGCTCCGTCTTCGGTCCTCCAAGGAAATTTCCCCTCCGGTAGGGAAAATCCCTCCCTTGGCCGGATGGCCGTTTCCAAATCCCGACGGAAGAAAAACGAAATACGAAGATTATAATCGTAATTTCGAATTTTTGAAATAAGATTTATGTCGGAACATTTTTGGTTAATTTCTTGTAATGTGTTTGGTTAATGTGTCTGCCATTAAATCGGGCGACGATGCGTTAATGTTTGTGCGATTCACGCATTCGGACGAGAACGAAGTGATTTCGATCCGACAGATGTCAACGAACGATCGTCTTCCAAAATGACGTCGACTTTCCGGGAAGGGAAATTTTCGTGCGAGAGAAAGTGGCATCGATCATTCTTTATTCGGAAAAAGACGAACAATTTTCGCTTTATCCGAATTACGCTTTTTAGTAAGAAAACAAATACTGTATATAAAATTGGGAAAATTTTATTTCTTAATCATCTGCTTGTGCCTCATCGGAACTCAATTCGGAAAGTGAATCGTCAGTCGGACTACAACTGTAGCAACGCTCCTGTTAAAGAAAAGAAAAAAACTTGTTGAAACGCGTCACTTGTAATCCGCATCCTCTTCGTAATCACTAGATTTAGTCTAATGGTTAAGCTACATTAAAGAACAAAGATTTTTAAAATGCACGTAATTAAATTTGCTTAGTCGATCGAAGTTTCTCTAACAAGACAGTAGAAAAATACAATGTTTACTCCAAAGTCTTTCCAGCAATTGTTGCAGTAGCACAATCCACACGGGTCGGGACAGATGTAATGTTGGGGAGTCTCCCGTTCCTGGCAGATAATACAGCTCATCAATCCAATTTTCAGATATTTCAGCCAACCGAACGTTTTTGGATAGTCTTGAACTAAGATCTGTGTAACGCTTCTGTCCAACTGCCAGAAAAAAAAAATTAAATTAACCATTTGTGTTATTCGAAATATTATTTCATTTTCAATTAAATTTACCATAAATCCTTCGTCTCTGATCATCTTTCTTAGTCTATGTCGCATCCAACGAAGATAGTTTTTCCTTTTTTTCAACTGTTCATTATACACATAGATGATCCTTTTTTTCTGTCGCTACAGAATAGAAAATTTTAAACAAGGAGGGAAAAAATAATAATCAAAATTGGATCCGTATCTCACCTTTGGATAAAAAATGCTGCAGACGTAACTTCTAAGTCTCAATCCGTAAGCTTGAGTGCAGATCAGGATCCAAACAATGCCGTAAATAATCCATATTGTGGTGATACGTTGGGAATTTACAGCCCGAGGATAGGGGAGGCAATCTGTCGAAGTGAATGATAAATATTTCGAAAAAATACTTTTAAAAATGTTCACTTACCCATAGTTGTGGTAATCTTATCTAGACTATGTTTCACTTTAAAGCTATTCACTATGGAACGAACAATTTTGGCCACAAATCCTTCTCCCTCAATGTCCAACTGAATATGATGAATACCTAGGAAAAAAAATCAAAGAATTTGAGAAATGATTCTCATTATTCCCATTCTTCAAAAAACAAAGTTTTTTTTTACCTTTTTGTCTATATTGGACCTGGGAAGAACGTCTCAGAACCATCAGTAATTCGTAAAAAACGCGATCGAAACCGACGAGAACTGCAACAAATATCATCTGAAAGAACAGGAGCACCGTCCCAGTCATCTATCAAACAAAAATTTTAATCATTTTACTGGAATTGAAATGTATTTCCCTGCCAACGGGTTATTTATTTTGCGTTTTTACTATGAGAGAAATATATCTCAACTTTTATTAAATAATGAACTTAGAAAAAGTGTTAAATAAACCAACTGCATATCTGGATTCTTGAAAATGGTGGCAAATTAATACAAAATATGGACCAAATTGGGTCATCGAACCCTATTTCGAGTTACTTGATATCGATAATTCGAGTTGTGACAATGTATAAAATCTCATATTTCCTAATTTATTTCAAGAAAATAATTACTTACAATGCGAAGGGTATTAATTTCTGTAGGTTATTGATTGTTATAATTTTATATTGTATTCTGTATTCAAAATATATTTTCTTTTCTTAAAAATAATTATTATCATCTTGATAGAAACGTTCTTTGTTTTAAAATTATATCCTTCCTAATTTTCTTCTGTATGAAATTACCCTTATTTATGAAATAATGACAGATAATAGTAGTTGTTTTATACAACGCGTATAATATTATGTATAATGTGTATAAATAAAAAGTTGGAAGCTAATTGCCATTTCGCAATCAATTTCTATTTTGTCGGTTCTTGATGCCTAAAAGTCTGGGAATCTTCCTAGATTACCAGTAAAAAATTGCCTTTTATACCTATTCTGGCATAAAATTTCCTAAATTATCTATGTTGTTGCGTATTTTTATATCTAGTTGTGCTATTTATATATTATAATAAAGACAAACGTCTTTATTGTTACGTCAGTTTTGAATACCTTAAGATAGAATATATTTATAAAACATTATTTTGAGCTAAATCAGTTTATAATACTTCAATTATTTTATTATATAGATAAAGTTAGGAATAAAAATAACATGAATTTCTATGACTCAGATGTGACTCAGATGCATAATTTTCACGAAATACGGAAGGAGGGGTGGAACAATTGTGAATCTGAGAAATACAGATGTTTGATGTTCATTATTATTATTATCTTTTATTATTTCGTATACTTTATTTGTAATTTAATTTAAGAATAAAAATAAATGTTTTTTCATTAATAACAACTATATACATATTTTTGCACCTTCCTCTGTACGGTACATTAATGTTAAGAAAAAACAATAAAATTTGATTATTTTCAACTAAATGATTATCTTATATAAATATTTATTTCTTCAACTTGAGCACATTTAATTAAAAAAATAAGCAAATATTTATTGCAAATGTCTGTATTTGTAAACGCTCCTGTATATAATACGAAACGGAAGTTGATTTCTCTGTGAGGTACAATTAGCTCCATCTAGTAACTAACTGACGTAATATAATAGAGACGACTTACGTACAAGTGTTAAAGAGCTAAAGTAAATATTAATAAAATAGAATGTCTGTGTATACACTTCTGAACCCTTTGACTGATCTGCACCAATTTTTTCATACTTATAATCTAGAACCCTGTAGAAAATACAGACTACCATAAAATCTGGGCACTCTACTCCAGTAGCAAGTTAAAGCTTCATGGATCCTAGTAAATTTGAATTAGGGGGTCCATTACAGTGTTGATTTCAGTCATTTTTCTTATTAAATATAATAATAAATAAACAAATACCGTATTTGCTCGCATATAAGACGAGGTTTTTATTCATTTATCACAGATTCAAATTCCTAGGTCTCCTATATGCACGAGCGAGATTCTTTGCGTTTCTGCAAATAATTTTTGTGAACCGTGTATTAGCTTTTTTTTTTTTTTACCCTCTTGTATTTAAAAAGATAAATAGTTTTTGGATCGTTCTTATATATTGTCAGGATTAAAAATGAATAGCAATAGGAAAAGCAAAGCTTTTGAATTGAATTCCAGATTGAAATTCCAAAATCACACGGGAGCCCGGTATAAGTTTTAATCCATCCCACGTAAAAACAGATGATTATTTGGAAATCAGAATTCGGGAAAACTCGTAAGTGTAATCGACGGAGAGTGGATTCGACTGTTAAGAATTACCAAAAAAGGTTCCTGATTTTCCAGCTTTACATGAACAAATTATGTTGTCGATTTTACAAGATTTTTCCTTAAAGTTTAAAATGCCAATAATTTTTGCGGGACAGTGGGTGCATTTACCTGTATTTCATATTTTACTTGTGATTAAAGGAAATAAAATTAGAATCGTATTAATAAATCTAATTTTCTATATTTTGATCTTTAAAGTCACACCTCGTCCTATATGCGACATCGTCTTATATTTATATATAGGCCTATAATATATTTCAAAAAGGGGGCCAAAAATAAAATTTTGCACAGGGCACTTGTGGCATTATGTATTGGTAGTCAATAGCGTTAGCAGTAGTGCCCAGCCTGATTCCCTTACCTTGTAAATAATTAAATGAAAAAAAAAAAAAATCATATAAGTATAGGAAAAATATTTGAATATGACATACGCACATACAGTATTCTGGTTTACTCTTTATCTACAGCACTAGTAACCACTAGTGCTGTAGATGGTTACATCCACAATGGTATAGGGGTGAATATAAGTTTGAAGTTCTAATTTAAACCTTCCTCTTCAATATCGGTTCTAGTTACCCTACAGTTGGTAGCTGAACAGACGAGAGTAAAAAAAAAAAAAAAAATTCCATAAAAATATTTCAAATATGTTTCGAAGAAACTTCGAAAAATGTTATTTTTTAAATTTAAATTTGGTTTTTGAAATCGTTTTTTGTGGAATATAACACTGAGTATCATGAGCATCCGCAGAAAATTTTTCAGGGACTGGGTAAAATTTGGAGACAATTAAATCAATAAATTTTTATTTAATTGTTTAATTTTGGGGGGTTCCCACAAGTAGATTATAAAATACAGCATCGCATCAACACAAAAAATGGACAAAGAGTCGCATATTGAGGGTTTAAGGTTATATATCTTTCGTTATATAAGATTATATATTTGCCAATCCGAAATTATAAAACGAATTAATCAGAAGAAACAAAGTACTCACGAATCGTTTTCTCTCGTGTTTTGAAAATCCCAGACTAGAAGAAACTACAAAGGACTTTTTCTCCGTCTTTATCAGAGGCAAAAGAGAAGATTTACCCTATAAAGGAAAACAAAGGTTTCTTTATACATAAGTACTGTATATAGACTATATACTTAAAACAAGGAGAGAAATACGAACATACCAGTCGTTTTCTCCTTTGGTCGATGCGTCGAAAATACTTAGTGATGTAGATGTTATCGTGTTTAATATCTTTCAAGTACTTGTCGTTATAACTCTTCGCTCTGTATCAAAAACATTAAATTTCTAGATTATTGGTAATGGATACTATGTGTGTGAATATTTCCAGTGAGACAAAAGCAGTGTTTCGTAAAGCTGGTGCTAAACTTGCAATTATCTCAGAAGGGTTAACAAAAAAGCTGCAACTTTTGAGTTTGCCAGTTCGTTAATAACGTCTTCAAAACAAAAATTCGAGAACATCGGGAAAGCTAGATGCAAGCTGACATCCATAGCTAAATTGCGACTTGGAAAAATGCGTCGTGCTACGTACAGCGACGTTGCACACTTATACACTTACACTTACACAGACAGCAACATGGATTGCTGTTTTTTCGATAATCATTGTTCACTGTATTCAGAAAGCTGAAATCAACATCGTTCTGAAGTTGAACAAGTGAAGGAATGTGATGGCACGAAGGAGATAAAGAGAGAATACGAATCTGCTGGCGAAGCTGAAACCACACCAGCTGAATCGATAGAGTTATTTTGTTCTGACGTAGATTCAAACTTTATACTTAGTTAAAGTTTATTTTTAACTAGCTGCGTGTGCCTGACGTTGCTCGGGCTTTTAGGGATGAGGAATAGGTGAGGTTGAGTTGTGAGAGGGTGATGAAAACAATAGTCGTAGTAAGTAAAATGTACATTTATTCATTTATTGATATGTGTATTTACAATAATGAAACTGTAAAACACAAAAATTGCTCGGGATTAAGTAAAGAGGAGTGGCTTTAGGGGTGCTTGAATGGCTTTAGGGGACCCTCACAATATTCATGTCAGTCTTCCCATGAAAAATTTTCTGGGATTTTCTACCTATCCGGATGCAATCCCAGGTCTCTCACAGAGGTAGGCTGACACCTTAACCATTTGGCTATCCGACCATCCATTAAGAATTTATCAGCAACTAAAAGTTGGTTGGCTTATCTGTCGATCAGTTTACAACAATGATCTATTTTTATCCATTCAAAAATAACGGTATCGTATTCAATAAGCATTTTATCGAAAGCTATATTTGGATAACGGAAAAAATTTATTTGTTATCAAAATTTAATATTATTGAAAAATTTATATAAAAAATGAAACTATTTAATAATATCCTTGATATATGAATGTATAGGTTAAGGCAGCACGGGAACAATCTACAAGAAACGTACCGGTATATTTGAACATGTGGATGAAAAAGCGACAGTTTTATTATTCACACTTTCAGGTATACATACCGGTACGTGTGTAGTTGGCTTAAGACACACGAAGAAAACCAGGATAACTCTATGCGGTCAGCCTTTTATCAGATGCAACTGCGAAGATCTGTTTGAAATCCATGAACAACTGGTTTCACCAGAGAAACTCGAAGTCTAGGTCTAGTAGAGCTTTTGGATAACGCTAATCAGACGATGGATGGTCGAGACGGTTAAAACTTTTCGACGGAACGACATCCGTCTCAAAAAAATCAACTAATCGTTGAAGTTATATGTAAAAACGCCACAATGAGAGTTGTTTTATATTTACTTGGTTTAGAATGTCAAGTCATCTAGTAACTATAATATATAGTGAATTAATTAACTCGAATGAATCTGTGAGGTAAAAAAATTTGGACTTGAAGTTAAAAGTTTCTAGTCACGGATGTTCGGCTAAAAATTAAGATTTTGTGCATTGTTTATCGGTGACCCATAATAAACTATCAATACGGTATTCCCGCGGGTCTTATTATTTAGAATCGTTGTGTTGATGCAAACCTCTGTGTGTTATCTAGAAACTAGAAAACGCTTAACCGAATGGTTAAATAAACTACAGAGAAATGCTTTCCCAAACAGTTGATCCGTTCACTCCTCGGTGTTTAGTAAGGACTTTTTTACATTGCGATATTTCGCATCTAGAATCGACTTGCTGTTTATTTTTCATCACAAACGTACAATTCTTTACGACTGTTATATTTTTGAAATTTTGCTACAAGGTTAAAATTTTTATATGGAATCGGACTATAATTGTTTTTTAAAAATTAATATATCAAAAATCTATTTATTTATTACGTCATCTAGTTGGAAAATTCCATCAGTAATCAAATTTTAAAAAAGTCCAAAAAAAAGGCTTGAATGCCAGTTACATTATCTAAGTAAGAGGTGACTAACCTTTTTGAGCCAATAGTAAGCATACTTAGCTTTAAAAATGTTTATGCGTGTCAAAGTTTTAGACTTCAAATAACGATATTTAAATAAATTAAACGAATATGCTTTAATTAAAATAAATGTAAAAAGCTGATTGAAAAAAGGATGATCGGATGATAAACCGAAAGGATGATTGAAAAAGACAGATGATAAATTGAAATTGTATGATAAGTTACGTGCCAGATGATTTCTCCTTACGTACCACTTTGGGTACGCGTGCCATAGGTTCGCCACCCCTAATCTAGGTCATCCAAGCTGCCGAAGCCACTACTACCCACTCACGATCCAGCGTCCCGCTGCTTTGCGGATCACGCGTGCGTACAGAACTGTGTCAACGGACGCGGCCCTGGTCTTGGCTGGGCTGCTCCCTTTGCCTCTGGTTGTCAGCCAAGAGGCAGCCTTCTACAGAACAACGGTGGAAGGTTGAGAGGCCATGCATTGTAATCAGAAGTACCCGATCAGACTTAGGCGTCAGACAGACGTACTAAAGATCCATCCTGCCCTTAGGATTGGACTTGATTGGGAAGTCGGTGAACCGACTGGTACTGGTGTTGAGATATACACCGATGGCTCAAAGGACGGCAGCTTAGTAGGCGCCGCATACTGCGTCTTTTCCGACGGAGTTGAAGTGTACAGCAGAACTGTCAGACTGAACGAGAAGGCGTCCGTGTTCCAGGCAGAACTGGTGGCCCTGGAGGGGGCGTCCCAGTGGATCCTGCTACATCCGGGTCCAGAGCCGGTCACGGTTTACTCAGATAGCCAGTCGTCGTTACAGGCTTTAAGCGACGGGTACCATCGTGACCCATTGGTACACGAGATCAGAGGTAGGGTACTGAGGGCGAGGCACGAGCGACACGTTGCCCTGCGGTGGGTAAGAGGCCACACCGGTGTCCTGGGCAACGAACGGGCCGATCAGCTGGCAAAGGCGGGAGCCAGTGGCCCATTTGTTACGAGGACGGTAGATCCCTCGACTACATACATAAAAGGTACTTTACTGCAGAGATCGATGATAAGCTGGCGAGAGCGCTGGACTCTATGTACAGTAGGTAGGCCAACCTACGCCTTCGTGCCTGTAGTTGGCCTCACTCCGATAAGTTGTTGCTCGTTGTCGACTCACGGGAGGTTCCCCCACTTCAAGTCCAAGTTTGGACAAGGAGATGGTAGTTGCCCCTGTGGTAGTCCTCGCGGCGACGCGAGGCATTACGTACTTGACTGTCCCTTAACAAGGGACTTCCGCCTAGGAACGGACCAAGTTGACTGGTCTAAGCCCCCTGAACAAGTACTTCGAACGCTAGCAGCTAGTAAAGGAAACCTAAAGAAACTAAAGGAATTGATGGGAAAAATCATAGATCTCTTTGATCTATAGATTCAGTAAGTGCTAGTCTGGGCCCCCTCTTTCAGGGACGAGGGCCCCGCTGTCCGTATACCTATTATAAGGGTATAAGTCTGTGACATTTGTACAAGTATGAGCTGGATAAGGTTTAGTATTGTGGACCATAAGTGCAGTACAGGCTGCACAAGCAAAATTTATGCCAAGTTAGTGAGCTGGGCCGGGGTGCGGACGGGAGTCCGAATGATGCATCATAGGGCCCAGCTATGACGTCCCTGTCTACCGCGTCAGGTACCGACCAGTCGATGAACAAGGCATAGTCTCTTTTAACCCTGTAGTGCCAATAGGCGGGGCAGGGCAAAGAGTTCCTTATGAGACTACTACTCACCCGCCGTCACGTAACGCGACGTTCAAAAACTTTCTATAAACCACGCCAGAACCATATAATGGCGCTTTATAGAAAGTTTTTGGAATTGTTTATTCCACATATAAACGTTAATTTTCATAAAATGGTTAACATAATAACCATCATAATTTTCATCAAACTGTTTAACTCGAATAGGGTTTTGATACAGTATTTTCATAAACTTCATAAACTCTCCGAAGTTAAAATTTCGTAGAGTTTATGATGTTTATGAAAATACTGTATCAAAACCCTATTCGAGTTAAACAGTTCGACGAATTCGAGTTAACCAGTTTGATTTAACATGTAAATCCCTATCTTAGATGATCGAGGAAAGATTACTTTAAGTTATCGTAGTTCGAGTTAATCAGATTCCACTGTATTACATGGAAAAAAGAAAGAAGAAAAAAAAAACAGAGAATTTTAATAAAAATGAAGAGCAAAGATTTTAACGAATATTAATTGAGGAAGTAAAACCTATGTGACAGTGTATCAGACTTTTTCACTTTTATTCACTTAAAATGTTCTTAAAATTCTGAAATCCTTTTACTTTCCCGAATGGTCACATGGAGTTTCCGGGTCTTCTTTACGTTAGTAGTTACCATGTAAATAGAGGCCAGTTTTTCATAAAAGACTTCCGGTGAGGCATTTTTCCTTTGGCAGATCGCCCATACGTCGCGTTGCCTTTTAGGAATAAAATCAATGAAAAATTATTCCCCAAGACTTTTACATTTATGGTCTCGGGACCTTGAAACGTCGGGAAATGCAAAAAAAATTAGGTTTTTTTTCTGTTTATGTGGATGTGTTTATATGTGCTCTTGTGGGTTTGTATAGGAGCACATTTTTGTACACCAATTTTGAAGCTTAGTAACTCCTGTGCCTTTTGTCAAAAATTTTTTGAAAGTTTGCAGTGAGATTTGTTTATTAGGCCTTTGATGCTATTAAATTTTGGTGGTTAAAGGTCCAGAGTGTGTTAAGATAGAGGAGGGCCAGGTGTCATATCTCGAGTGGGATCGGACTGAACAAAAATTTTACTCATTAGTATTTACAATTTATTTATTTTTTTTAAAACTCAATCTTACCGTTAAACTTTTGCGATTTTTTAATAATTAAAAAATACAAGCCTAATAACTTTTTAAATAATATTGCTTAACAGATGGCGCCAAAAACAATATTTTTGTCGCGAAACTTAAGCAACTCGTTGTTGGCCTTTCTTTAAATGTGTTAAAAAGCAAAGGAAAAAGCGTAGAAAATTCTTTTCTTCCAGTTTCCGAGAGAAATAAATAGGAAAAAAATAAACAATCAAAATTAGTTTTTGAAGTAAAAACTGATTTTGATTGTTTTGATAAATTTGATTGTTTTGACTCTTCTGATAAACTCTTGAACTGAGGAAAAATTATCTTAATTTTCTAAATACCAAGAATTCATAGAAAATTATTATTATGATTAGGGTTGGAAAAGTAATAAAATAAATCAAAAGAAAACATCACATCACAATTTTTCCTACATTATGTAAAAAAAAAAACATGTTTTCACAATAAAATTATCTTTTCCGTAATTGGAAATAATTATCTCAGCTCAGAATACAGAATCATAATTAACCCGGAGACTGTATCGAATCCACATAAGCCTACTCTATCGAATCCGCATAGGCCTACTGTATCGAATCCTCATTACCTTGAATGTTTATTTCTTCGAAATTACGGTAATAAGAAAGGAAAAAAAAAAAAGCTAAACTTGCCTGAGAAAGACAAAGAGAAACACAAAAGCCAAGAAGCGCTTGATAACAATGATCACTAAATTAGCCAGTTTTTTCTTCGTAGTAAAGCGCTCGGCCAAAGCTTCAGTTATGTCTTCGGGAGTGGCTTGATGCACTTTCTCTTTCGGGAGATTCATCTATCAAAATAAATCATCAGTTCAAATAGAAAGGAAAAGAGTTAATATCCTTGTACAGTACCTTATATTGCAAATTAAATATGAAATTTTCATGCATTTCTTGGTCTACCATCGCCAATGACTCGTAACCCCCTCCGAAATTTTTATTGATATTTTTTTCGGATCGACAACCATCTTCACCTTTCTTAGCTATTTTAAACGCAAAAAAATATTGAAGATCACAAAACATATCAAAGAGATATATGTATTGTTTATTCTCATTACCTTCTATTAAATCGCAAGCATTATGCATGAGTAAGGGAGCACAAACAAGCCAGCCAACTAAAAATACTCTTGATAAGCATTTAGCATGCGTATCCCGAAGAGTGTTTCGACAATTTTCAACAGCCTTAGTAAAAAGATCTAAAAGAGAGAGTATTTCACAATACATATTGTTTATGTACATTGAAAAATTACCAATTAAAAAACAATTATATATAACAAACATTCGCAACGATATTCAAGTTTTTTCCTATAATTCAACTCCTTCTTCATTCCAATTCCACTTTGATTACGCTTTCTGAATCTTTCTTCTATTGTTTGAACACGATTTTCATTTATTTGCTTATCAAGGTTTTCTATCTCTCTGATATTCTCAGTCACTTCCTCTTTTCCTTCTACCTGTCAACAAGGGAATCCTTTTCATGTTAATCAAATAAATGTGAAAAAATTTAATATTTTCAAAAAGACTACTATTAGTTACCTCATTCTGTATGGGGAAGTAACTATCGACGACTCTTTGCACTTCTTTTTGTAAAACATTGCCCCCATTCTAAATTGAAAAGTAAAATTAGCTCAATTACCGATCTAAATTTTTGTCACTGAAAGTTGTTCTCTCACATTGAATTCGTTTGCCATTTGTTTGATAGGACGAAACATCAAGCGAGATCTCTCAATCGAATGGTTAAAAGCAAGAGAAGTGATGCACCCCATAACTCGAACAGATTCGTTAGTATTGTACAACACGTTATCGAAAGGACCTGAAAACGAATTAAATTGATTGTATGCAAAATATTCTTCTGCATTAGAGAAAACAATGCAGTCTTACCATCAATGACATGAGTGATAGCTAAACTGACCAAATAAGCTCTACCACTTTTTCCAAAAATAGTAGGTAATACCAACCAACACATACATCGAATTTGTACCGACAGGGCGTAACCCAGTGTTAAACAGAAGCCTAAAGTGAGCGACAAAACTTGCATGACAAATTCTTCCAACTCTAAGTATTGGATTATACCGTAATGCAATCCTTAAATAAAAAGTAATTTATTATCTTATCTGAAATGAAAACTATTCGAATTTTTACTTACCCAAAGCGAATAAAACTCCGATGGGAAAGTGAAAAGCAGTCTTGACCACTCTGTGTTCATATGTTTTGCTGCAAAATACGTCTCGTATCGCCTGTATAAACAAGCAATGACCTGAAAAAATTTACATCCCATCATCTCATGATGAAAAAACACCAAATAACAAAATCTGACAGATGCTAAGAGTATAATGGAAAAAATTCACTTACGTCTCTTTTTCGTTATTTCTTTAATTTTAATTATTTTCTCGATTATTTTGTCTTTAGCCATTATAATTTCTAAATTTCTTAACTATTAACAATTCTAATTTCTAAATGTCTAAAAAACGCAATAATGCAATTATTACGTTCGGTAATTTTGTTTGTTTAAATTGTTTCTGTTCTAGCCGAAATCCATTTTGAAGAAATATAAATATATTCAATATATTTAGTTTTTACAATATATATGGCCTTATATCACATTTTATTATATTAATTTCTACAAAAGCGCCCTTAAAAATATTTCATTAAAAAATATAGGCCTTTCTATTTTATTCTACTTAATTTTAACAATTCGAAAATAATTTTTAAAAAAAGAAAAATAAAGAAAAAATAAAACTTTAGTTTCCTATAATATTATAAACTGGACTGAAAATCAAGCAATGTTTGAAACATGAGCGAAAAAGACTTATCCAGGAAGCATAGAGACATTAGTACCGGTGCCGCATAACACAATGAAACAAATTGCAAGGTCATAAAAACTTCTTTCGAAAATGTAGGCGTTCTTTATGTATTTCGACCTCCTGAATTCGAAAATGGTACTCAAAACATCGTACCACCCACAGTTTTTGCACAAATCGCATATTTTGCGATAATGATAATATACACGAAAACACCACATGAAGCTCAGAAGCGCAACATCGTTTTCAACATTAAGGCACTTCTTACTACCATTCATCATGAGGATCGCAATTGGATGGTGTGTGGTGATTTCAAAGTGTTGAGTATGCTTCTAGGACAACAATCAGGATATACCAAGTTTCCCTGTTTCATCTGTGAATGGGACAGTCGAGCTCGTGACAAACATTGGGAGCAAAAACAGTGGCCTCGAAGGTTGGAATTGGTTCCGGGGGACAAAAATATTAAGTGTGACCCTCTAGTGGAGAGACAGAATACTCTTACCACCTCTGCACAACAAATTGGGCATAATGAAGCAGTTTGTCAAAGCATTAAATAAGTGTGGCAACTGTTTCAAATATCTATGTTACAAGTTCCCCAACCTGTCAGATGCTAAGTTGAAAGAGGGCGTGTTCACTGGTCCCAATATTCAGAAAGTCATGCTAGATGAAGATTTCCTTCATTCAATGAATGCTGTGGAGCAAGAAGCCTGAACTGCCTTTAAGTGTGTGGTTCAAAACTTCCCGGGAAACAATTGTAGCCCAGAATATATCGACATAGTTGAGAACATGGTGACGAAATTCAAAATGCTGGGATGCTCAATGAGTTTGAAGTTACATTTTTTAATTAAATTTCTTATGACTGCTGTTTATATATAAATATTATAAAGTCTCTGTAAATCCGCACGAAAAATATATAAATTTTAGGTTTAGCGGTAGACCAACACACAGCAGATACCCGTACATAGGGTATTTGTACTTTGTACTAAATAAATAAATAAATAAATAAACTTTAAAAGTATGATTCATTAAAGATGGCCGACGATAATTTACATAGTAAAAAACATGTTAAAGAACGTAAAAAATTTTTCTTTGCAATCTGTCGTTTCAGTCTTCATTAGATCTTTTATTTGATGCTACACCTCTGGAAAAAAAATTGTAAATTGATTAAAATTGGTGACTGTGAAACAACGGATTGTGAAGACAAAATTTTTTGTATTATTCAATATATTGTTTACTATTTAAAAAATGCATCAAATTTTATTTTCGAGTCGAATTTTATTTAATTCATAAGTGTAGAAGTATAATTTTTTATAAATAATACTTCCTTATTAATTAATATAACGAAATTATTCTTTTGATCTCAAATATAGTTATCATGCAGAAAATTAATGCATTAAATTTCTATATGGTAGTCTACTGTTAAAATAACTAATAGCTTTAATAAGAAAATGAGAATGTTTTATGGAGATCAAATTATACATATTTGAAATTGTTCAAAATAAAATATAGTTTGATGTATACCTAGTAAAATATCAATTGACATTATTTCACATGATTAAATAATGCAAAATGGTAGGAATACGTAAGGTATGCTACGAGTGAACTTGCAAATAGAATATTTCAAGAAAATTCGTTTATAAATTTATTCAAGTCATGTAATTTTAAATGTTCCTTCCTGACTTTAGAAATATTTCAAATGCTAGCTTTATGTTATTTAACACCCACACATCAATTAGAACCGACAGAAATAAGCTTTTGACTTTAACTGACTTTATATATTAAGCGAAGGCTGCAACACTCCTCTATCCAGATGAGAAACGAGAAATGAGACTTTATATATTTCATTACTTTTATCTACAAAAACAAAACGAAATTTCTCTCAGAAAAATCAATTTTTGTACTAATTAAAGTATAAAAATCAATTTAATTTTCTACTTGATAATTAAATTGATTTTTAATGACGAATAATTCACTTCCACTTACATTGTACAGACAATACAAAAGTAATAATAAATTCGTTCAATGTTATTAAAAAATTACATGTTTGCATGCTTAAAAACTTAAATACTTTATATATAAAATACAAAGTTCAAAATTTGTGATTTATACAAAGTTAATATAGTTTACAAACGTAATTAATCTTTTATTAACATTATTTAATGTGTGAATAAGTGTTTTTAATGTATAGCCTATATGTTGTTTCTTTCGTGTCAACATATTTTCCTTGAATTTCAGCAATAAATTTCATACATTAAATAATATTTTTAAAAAATTAACAAGTTTGTCTGTTCTTTATGTATTTGAGAGGATACGAATAAATTCAACCAAACTTTCGAAAAATCATCCTCACGTCCAGGAGAAAGTCAATAACTACTAGCCTTTACGTCCGAAAAAAGAAAAGAAAATTGAACAAAACGACTGGTAGATAAATCATTCTGTAAGTGAACTCGCATGTTGGTTTTCAGCTCCAGCTTGCGCACGTATCTCTAGAGATATGAAGTTCTCAAACAAGTATTGTTCCCTTTGGAATGACTGACGTATATTGCCATAAACTAAAAACATTGTAGATCATTCTACTTTATAAGATTTTTGATTGTAAATTGTAAAAAATTAAAAAAAAAAGGCAATGTCAAAGGTGCATTGTCAAATTTCCGGACGAACCCCGGGTATTTCCGCTAGTTAAATATAGTCATCACTCGATTTAATTTAAAACGTGTCCATCATGCCAATCATCTGCAACCAACACTACAACACATGAACAGTCGACCCACCTATAACACTGTTGATAATTCCGTTTTATATGAATTCCATGTTGTACGAGTCACTTAGATTTTAAAAATACGTGTGCCGGGCTGTGAACGGCTCACGTATTTGTAAAATCTAAGTGACTCGTACAACATNCTATAATTGTTTTTTAAAAATTAATATATCAAAAATCTATTTATTTATTACGTCATCTAGTTGGAAAATTCCATCAGTAATCAAATTTTAAAAAAGTCCAAAAAAAAGGCTTGAATGCCAGTTACATTATCTAAGTAAGAGGTGACTAACCTTTTTGAGCCAATAGTAAGCATACTTAGCTTTAAAAATGTTTATGCGTGTCAAAGTTTTAGACTTCAAATAACGATATTTAAATAAATTAAACGAATATGCTTTAATTAAAATAAATGTAAAAAGCTGATTGAAAAAAGGATGATCGGATGATAAACCGAAAGGATGATTGAAAAAGACAGATGATAAATTGAAATTGTATGATAAGTTACGTGCCAGATGATTTCTCCTTACGTACCACTTTGGGTACGCGTGCCATAGGTTCGCCACCCCTAATCTAGGTCATCCAAGCTGCCGAAGCCACTACTACCCACTCACGATCCAGCGTCCCGCTGCTTTGCGGATCACGCGTGCGTACAGAACTGTGTCAACGGACGCGGCCCTGGTCTTGGCTGGGCTGCTCCCTTTGCCTCTGGTTGTCAGCCAAGAGGCAGCCTTCTACAGAACAACGGTGGAAGGTTGAGAGGCCATGCATTGTAATCAGAAGTACCCGATCAGACTTAGGCGTCAGACAGACGTACTAAAGATCCATCCTGCCCTTAGGATTGGACTTGATTGGGAAGTCGGTGAACCGACTGGTACTGGTGTTGAGATATACACCGATGGCTCAAAGGACGGCAGCTTAGTAGGCGCCGCATACTGCGTCTTTTCCGACGGAGTTGAAGTGTACAGCAGAACTGTCAGACTGAACGAGAAGGCGTCCGTGTTCCAGGCAGAACTGGTGGCCCTGGAGGGGGCGTCCCAGTGGATCCTATTACATCCGGGTCCAGAGCCGGTCACGGTTTACTCAGATAGCCAGTCGTCGTTACAGGCTTTAAGCGACGGGTACCATCGTGACCCATTGGTACACGAGATCAGAGGTAGGGTACTGAGGGCGAGGCACGAGCGACACGTTGCCCTGCGGTGGGTAAGAGGCCACACCGGTGTCCTGGGCAACGAACGGGCCGATCAGCTGGCAAAGGCGGGAGCCAGTGGCCCATTTGTTACGAGGACGGTAGATCCCTCGACTACATACATAAAAGGTACTCTACTGCAGAGATCGATGATAAGCTGGCGAGAGCGCTGGACTCTATGTACAGTAGGTAGGCCAACCTACGCCTTCGTGCCTGTAGTTGGCCTCACTCCGATAAGTTGTTGCTCGTTGTCGACTCACGGGAGGTTCCCCCACTTCAAGTCCAAGTTTGGACAAGGAGATGGTAGTTGCCCCTGTGGTAGTCCTCGCGGCGACGCGAGGCATTACGTACTTGACTGTCCCTTAACAAGGGACTTCCGCCTAGGGGCGGACCAAGTTGACTGGTCTAAGCCCCCTGAACAAGTACTTCGAACGCTAGCAGCTAGTAAAGGAAACCTAAAGAAACTAAAGGAATTGATGGGAAAAATCATAGATCTCTTTGATCTATAGATTCAGTAAGTGCTAGTCTGGGCCCCCTCTTTCAGGGACGAGGGCCCCGCTGTCCGTATACCTATTATAAGGGTATAAGTCTGTGACATTTGTACAAGTATGAGCTGGATAAGGTTTAGTATTGTGGACCATAAGTGCAGTACAGGCTGCACAAGCAAAATTTATGCCAAGTTAGTGAGCTGGGCCGGGGTGCGGACGGGAGTCCGAATGATGCATCATAGGGCCCAGCTATGACGTCCCTGTCTACCGCGTCAGGTACCGACCAGTCGATGAACAAAACATAGTCTCTTTAAACCCTGTAGTGCCAATAGGCGGGGCAGGGCAAAGAGTTCCTTATGAGACTACTACTCACCCGCCGTCACGTAACGCGACGTTCAAAAACTTTCTATAAACCACGCCAGAACCATATAATGGCGCTTTATAGAAAGTTTTTGGAATTGTTTATTCCACATATAAACGTTAATTTTCATAAAATGGTTAACATAATAACCATCATAATTTTCATCAAACTGTTTAACTCGAATAGGGTTTTGATACAGTATTTTCATAAACTTCATAAACTCTCCGAAGTTAAAATTTCGTAGAGTTTATGATGTTTATGAAAATACTGTATCAAAACCCTATTCGAGTTAAACAGTTCGACGAATTCGAGTTAACCAGTTTGATTTAACATGTAAATCCCTATCTTAGATGATCGAGGAAAGATTACTTTAAGTTATCGTAGTTCGAGTTAATCAGATTCCACTGTATTACATGGAAAAAAGAAAGAAGAAAAAAAAAACAGAGAATTTTAATAAAAATGAAGAGCAAAGATTTTAACGAATATTAATTGAGGAAGTAAAACCTATGTGACAGTGTATCAGACTTTTTCACTTTTATTCACTTAAAATGTTCTTAAAATTCTGAAATCCTTTTACTTTCCCGAATGGTCACATGGAGTTTCCGGGTCTTCTTTACGTTAGTAGTTACCATGTAAATAGAGGCCAGTTTTTCATAAAAGACTTCCGGTGAGGCATTTTTCCTTAGGCAAATCGCCCATACGTCGCGTTGCCTTTTAGGAATAAAATCAATGAAAAATTATTCCCCAAGACTTTTACATTTATGGTCTCGGGACCTTGAAACGTCGGGAAATGCAAAAAAAATTAGGTTTTTTTTCTGTTTATGTGGATGTGTTTATATGTGCTCTTGTGGGTTTGTATAGGAGCACATTTTTGTACACCAATTTTGAAGCTTAGTAACTCCTGTGCCTTTTGTCAAAAATTTTCTGAAAGTTTGCAGTGAGATTTGTTTATTAGGCCTTTGATGCTATTAAATTTTGGTGGTTAAAGGTCCAGAGTGTGTTAAGATAGAGGAGGGCCAGGTGTCATATCTCGAGTGGGATCGGACTGAACAAAAATTTTACTCATTAGTATTTACAATTTATTTATTTTTTTTAAAACTCAATCTTACCGTTAAACTTTTGCGATTTTTTAATAATTAAAAAATACAAGCCTAATAACTTTTTAAATAATATTGCTTAACAGATGGCGCCAAAAACAATATTTTTGTCGCGAAACTTAAGCAACTCGTTGTTGGCCTTTCTTTAAATGTGTTAAAAAGCAAAGGAAAAAGCGTAGAAAATTCTTTTCTTCCAGTTTCCGAGAGAAATAAATAGGAAAAAAATAAACAATCAAAATTAGTTTTTGAAGTAAAAACTGATTTTGATTGTTTTGATAAATTTGATTGTTTTGACTCTTCTGATAAACTCTTGAACTGAGGAAAAATTATCTTAATTTTCTAAATACCAAGAATTCATAGAAAATTATTATTATGATTAGGGTTGGAAAAGTAATAAAATAAATCAAAAGAAAACATCACATCACAATTTTTCCTACATTATGTAAAAAAAAAAAAAAAACATGTTTTCACAATAAAATTATCTTTTCCGTAATTGGAAATAATTATCTCAGCTCAGAATACAGAATCATAATTAACCCGGAGACTGTATCGAATCCACATAAGCCTACTCTATCGAATCCGCATAGGCCTACTGTATCGAATCCTCATTACCTTGAATGTTTATTTCTTCGAAATTACGGTAATAAGAAAGGAAAAAAAAAAAAGCTAAACTTGCCTGAGAAAGACAAAGAGAAACACAAAAGCCAAGAAGCGCTTGATAACAATGATCACTAAATTAGCCAGTTTTTTCTTCGTAGTAAAGCGCTCGGCCAAAGCTTCAGTTATGTCTTCGGGAGTGGCTTGATGCACTTTCTCTTTCGGGAGATTCATCTATCAAAATAAATCATCAGTTCAAATAGAAAGGAAAAGAGTTAATATCCTTGTACAGTACCTTATATTGCAAATTAAATATGAAATTTTCATGCATTTCTTGGTCTACCATCGCCAATGACTCGTAACCCCCTCCGAAATTTTTATTGATATTTTTTTCGGATCGACAACCATCTTCACCTTTCTTAGCTATTTTAAACGCAAAAAAATATTGAAGATCACAAAACATATCAAAGAGATATATGTATTGTTTATTCTCATTACCTTCTATTAAATCGCAAGCATTATGCATGAGTAAGGGAGCACAAACAAGCCAGCCAACTAAAAATACTCTTGATAAGCATTTAGCATGCGTATCCCGAAGAGTGTTTCGACAATTTTCAACAGCCTTAGTAAAAAGATCTAAAAGAGAGAGTATTTCACAATACATATTGTTTATGTACATTGAAAAATTACCAATTAAAAAACAATTATATATAACAAACATTCGCAACGATATTCAAGTTTTTTCCTATAATTCAACTCCTTCTTCATTCCAATTCCACTTTGATTACGCTTTCTGAATCTTTCTTCTATTGTTTGAACACGATTTTCATTTATTTGCTTATCAAGGTTTTCTATCTCTCTGATATTCTCAGTCACTTCCTCTTTTCCTTCTACCTGTCAACAAGGGAATCCTTTTCATGTTAATCAAATAAATGTGAAAAAATTTAATATTTTCAAAAAGACTACTATTAGTTACCTCATTCTGTATGGGGAAGTAACTATCGACGACTCTTTGCACTTCTTTTTGTAAAACATTGCCTCCATTCTAAATTGAAAAGTAAAATTAGCTCAATTACCGAATCTAAATTTTTGTCACTAAAAGTTGTTCTCTCACATTGAATTCGTTTGCCATTTGTTTGATAGGACGAAACATCAAGCGGGATCTCTCAATCGAATGGTTAAAAGCAAGAGAAGTGATGCACCCCATAACTCGAACAGATTCGTTAGTATTGTACAACACGTTATCGAAAGGACCTGAAAACGAATTAAATTGATTGTATGCAAAATATTCTTCTGCATTAGGGAAAACAATGCAGTCTTACCATCAATGACATGAGTGATAGCTAAACTGACCAAATAAGCTCTACCACTTTTTCCAAAAATAGTAGGTAATACCAACCAACACATACATCGAATTTGTACCGACAGGGCGTAACCCAGTGTTAAACAGAAGCCTAAAGTGAGCGACAAAACTTGCATGACAAATTCTTCCAACTCTAAGTATTGGATTATACCGTAATGCAATCCTTAAATAAAAAGTAATTTATTATCTTATCTGAAATGAAAACTATTCGAATTTTTACTTACCCAAAGCGAATAAAACTCCGATGGGAAAGTGAAAAGCAGTCTTGACCACTCTGTGTTCATATGTTTTGCTGCAAAATACGTCTCGTATCGCCTGTATAAACAAGCAATGACCTGAAAAAATTTACATCCCATCATCTCATGATGAAAAAACACCAAATAACAAAATCTGACAGATGCTAAGAGTATAATGGAAAAAATTCACTTACGTCTCTTTTTCGTTATTTCTTTAATTTTAATTATTTTCTCGATTATTTTGTCTTTAGCCATTATAATTTCTAAATTTCTTAACTATTAACAATTCTAATTTCTAAATGTCTAAAAAACGCAATAATGCAATTATTACGTTCGGTAATTTTGTTTGTTTAAATTGTTTCTGTTCTAGCCGAAATCCATTTTGAAGAAATATAAATATATTCAATATATTTAGTTTTTACAATATATATGGCCTTATATCACATTTTATTATATTAATTTCTACAAAAGCGCCCTTAAAAATATTTCATTAAAAAATATAGGCCTTTCTATTTTATTCTACTTAATTTTAACAATTCGAAAATAATTTTTAAAAAAAGAAAAATAAAGAAAAAATAAAACTTTAGTTTCCTATAATATTATAAACTGGACTGAAAATCAAGCAATGTTTGAAACATGAGCGAAAAAGACTTATCCAGGAAGCATAGAGACATTAGTACCGGTGCCGCATAACACAATGAAACAAATTGCAAGGTCATAAAAACTTCTTTCGAAAATGTAGGCGTTCTTTATGTATTTCGACCTCCTGAATTCGAAAATGGTACTCAAAACATCGTACCACCCACAGTTTTTGCACAAATCGCATATTTTGCGATAATGATAATATACACGAAAACACCACATGAAGCTCAGAAGCGCAACATCGTTTTCAACATTAAGGCACTTCTTACTACCATTCATCATGAGGATCGCAATTGGATGGTGTGTGGTGATTTCAAAGTGTTGAGTATGCTTCTAGGACAACAATCAGGATATACCAAGTTTCCCTGTTTCATCTGTGAATGGGACAGTCGAGCTCGTGACAAACATTGGGAGCAAAAACAGTGGCCTCGAAGGTTGGAATTGGTTCCGGGGGACAAAAATATTAAGTGTGACCCTCTAGTGGAGAGACAGAATACTCTTACCACCTCTGCACAACAAATTGGGCATAATGAAGCAGTTTGTCAAAGCATTAAATAAGTGTGGCAACTGTTTCAAATATCTATGTTACAAGTTCCCCAACCTGTCAGATGCTAAGTTGAAAGAGGGCGTGTTCACTGGTCCCAATATTCAGAAAGTCATGCTAGATGAAGATTTCCTTCATTCAATGAATGCTGTGGAGCAAGAAGCCTGGACTGCCTTTAAGTGTGTGGTTCAAAACTTCCCGGGAAACAATTGTAGCCCAGAATATATCGACATAGTTGAGAACATGGTGACGAAATTCAAAATGCTGGGATACTCAATGAGTTTGAAGTTACATTTTTTAATTAAATTTCTTATGACTGCTGTTTATATATAAATATTATAAAGTCTCTGTAAATCCGCACGAAAAATATATAAATTTTAGGTTTAGCGGTAGACCAACACACAGCAGATACCCGTACATAGGGTATTTGTACTTTGTACTAAATAAATAAATAAATAAATAAACTTTAAAAGTATGATTCATTAAAGATGGCCGACGATAATTTACATAGTAAAAAACATGTTAAAGAACGTAAAAAATTTTTCTTTGCAATCTGTCGTTTCAGTCTTCATTAGATCTTTTATTTGATGCTACACCTCTGGAAAAAAAATTGTAAATTGATTAAAATTGGTGACTGTGAAACAACAGATTGTGAAGACAAAATTTTTTGTATTATTCAATATATTGTTTACTATTTAAAAAATGCATCAAATTTTATTTTCGAGTCGAATTTTATTTAATTCATAAGTGTAGAAGTATAATTTTTTATAAATAATACTTCCTTATTAATTAATATAACGAAATTATTCTTTTGATCTCAAATATAGTTATCATGCAGAAAATTAATGCATTAAATTTCTATATGGTAGTCTACTGTTAAAATAACTAATAGCTTTAATAAGAAAATGAGAATGTTTTATGGAGATCAAATTATACATATTTGAAATTGTTCAAAATAAAATATAGTTTGATGTATACCTAGTAAAATATCAATTGACATTATTTCACATGATTAAATAATGCAAAATGGTAGGAATACGTAAGGTATGCTACGAGTGAACTTGCAAATAGAATATTTCAAGAAAATTCGTTTATAAATTTATTCAAGTCATGTAATTTTAAATGTTCCTTCCTGACTTTAGAAATATTTCAAATGCTAGCTTTATGTTATTTAACACCCACACATCAATTAGAACCGACAGAAATAAGCTTTTGACTTTAACTGACTTTATATATTAAGCGAAGGCTGCAACACTCCTCTATCCAGATGAGAAACGAGAAATGAGACTTTATATATTTCATTACTTTTATCTACAAAAACAAAACGAAATTTCTCTCAGAAAAATCAATTTTTGTACTAATTAAAGTATAAAAATCAATTTAATTTTCTACTTGATAATTAAATTGATTTTTAATGACGAATAATTCACTTCCACTTACATTGTACAGACAATACAAAAGTAATAATAAATTCGTTCAATGTTATTAAAAAATTACATGTTTGCATGCTTAAAAACTTAAATACTTTATATATAAAATACAAAGTTCAAAATTTGTGATTTATACAAAGTTAATATAGTTTACAAACGTAATTAATCTTTTATTAACATTATTTAATGTGTGAATAAGTGTTTTTAATGTATAGCCTATATGTTGTTTCTTTCGTGTCAACATATTTTCCTTGAATTTCAGCAATAAATTTCATACATTAAATAATATTTTTAAAAAATTAACAAGTTTGTCTGTTCTTTATGTATTTGAGAGGATACGAATAAATTCAACCAAACTTTCGAAAAATCATCCTCACGTCCAGGAGAAAGTCAATAACTACTAGCCTTTACGTCCGAAAAAAGAAAAGAAAATTGAACAAAACGACTGGTAGATAAATCATTCTGTAAGTGAACTCGCATGTTGGTTTTCAGCTCCAGCTTGCGCACGTATCTCTAGAGATATGAAGTTCTCAAACAAGTATTGTTCCCTTTGGAATGACTGACGTATATTGCCATAAACTAAAAACATTGTATATCATTCTACTTTATAAGATTTTTGATTGTAAATTGTAAAAAATTAAAAAAAAAAGGCAATGTCAAAGGTGCATTGTCAAATTTCCGGACGAACCCCGGGTATTTCCGCTAGTTAAATATAGTCATCACTCGATTTAATTTAAAACGTGTCCATCATGCCAATCATCTGCAACCAACACTACAACACATGAACAGTCGACCCACCTATAACACTGTTGATAATTCCGTTTTATATGAATTCCATGTTGTACGAGTCACTTAGATTTTAAAAATACGTGTGCCGGGCTGTGAACGGCTCACGTATTTGTAAAATCTAAGTGACTCGTACAACATGGAATTCATATAAAACGGAAT